CACACACAAAACAACCACCTGTTTCATGGTAAACATTTTCTGTCCTCAAAATGTCTTGCTCCACTGTTTTACATGTTCTGTGTTGCGAATTTGGCTGAGAATTGTTTCTTGCTGGAATGCTGAAGTGTCCTTACCTGTTTTCTTTTCCAGGGGGACCAACCTTGCTCACATTTATGGGGACAGGTTCTCAGCACTTGGGATTTTCAGGGCTAAAATGGGACTGTCAGGCAAACTACAAAATGCTTTCTGAGAAAAGTGCTGGCTTCACAGCCTAATGGTCAGACAACAACTCAGTGTGTTTTCCCTTCCCAGAAAAACCATCACTTCCATGTAGTTCTAGAAAAGATGGGTTGCCTTAGCAACTTCCTGTTTCTGCTAGAGTCTATGCCAAAGACACCATGAATAATCTTCTCTGTGATTGCTGATAGAACAGCAGCCTGAGGAATACTGTCTTCATTTCTTCATTCCTTCTGTGTTTATGGCTCAATCTCCTTGCACTTGGCATTGGATTGGTTGATATCTCAAATGAGGGTAGACCTTGCTCACCATAGGTTTATAATCTGGAAACAAGTACGTCTGCAGGAGCAATGAAGTTATTTTTCCCTTCATCAGACCAGGCCAGGCCAAAATTATTGTCCTAGGATACATTTTAATAGCTTTGCAGAACTCATGCAAAGTTGCAATGTAGCATTAAGTGATCATGGGAAAACTGATTTGGTGCTTTTCTCGGAAAAATCTTGATGATTGTCCCTTACACTACCCAGCATTCATTTTTCTTTCATGGTATATGCTTCTAGAGGCTCTATGTCGGGGAAGTCATATGTTCTCACAGTTGAACAAGTAGTCCTGTGGGGAACAGTGAGAGCCAGGGATCTATGAAAAATCATTTGGTCATCTTAGTGTGCTGAATCTGGCTAACCATTTGCTGGTGTACTTTTCATGATTTCTTTGTGGTTGTTATTGAGTTTCCTGGCATAATGACTCTTTCTCTTATCCTGTTAAAATGTTTTTTTTCTCTCTTTTCATCAAAAGTTCTCTTTGCAGCAGAGAGAAACTATCTGGCATTTTTCAGATAGTAACCCCCAAAGGCAACATTCTTCTTTTATTTAATACCAGAAAGGACTTGGATTTTCAGAGTAAATTGTTCCCAACTTCACTACGACCAGAAAAATTCTTACCCTCAGCTTTTTCAGTGTTCTTCATCCAGACCTACCTCTCATTCCCGACAAGACAGGAGGGCATACAGGGAAGATGACCAAAGTAGGTAATATGCATGTAGGAGAATGTCCCACTGAAGCAATATTTTGTTCAATTAATATGTGCTAATTAATAAAACCACAATCAAAAGTTTTCATTCTTCCAACTTAGGAGACAAACTGCTTTCAATACTTTGAGTTAATTCTTTTGACATTTATTTACTCTTCAATATCTTTTATTCTTTTCTCATTTTTAAAGTTTTAGGAATTATGTGTGGCCTTCCAATTATGGAAGATGAAAAATCTGCTCTCTAATATACATTCAGTCTAAAAGCTGTATGTAGAAGTAAGGAGTCCAGTAAAGATGACTCTGTAGGCAAATATAAAAGCAAGTATCATTGCATGCAACGATGGAGAATGTATCTGGTCTTTGTACCTGGCTTCTGGCATTGAGCTTCAAAAAAATGCTGGCATTTCTTAAGTGACAAGGTTGTTTTTACTTTATTGAGGTGACTCTTTGTGGGTCTCCAGGTAGCTTCAGGATAGATATTGGTCACTAGTAATGTTATCATTTGATTAGATGATTACTGGGGCTAGGCCAACCTCGTGAGAGAAGGCTAGAGTTCAGTTGGTTTAATCAATCATCTCTATGTACTGCAAAGCCCCAGATCTTCAGACACAAACGCTTTGGACACAATACATAGAGTGGGAGAGTGACGGAATGACAGAGATAACCAGATTCTACCAGATTCTGCATCAAGAAGGCATGGCAGCTCTAGGACTTCACCCACTAGCCAGACCTTGCCCTCTTTCTTCATTTGGCACTTCCTGATCTATGTCTTTTACAATCAAATTCTAATAGTATGCTGCTTTCTGTGAATTCTATGAGTTGTTCTAATGAGTTCTCTAGCCTGAGGGGATCATGGGAACTCCTGAAGTTATAGCTTAGTTGTAAATGAGTATTCCCATATACTTAGGATGGTCTTCTTAAGTGGGAAGAGTCTTGAGGAAAATTTTACTCATCACTTGTGGAATCTGTTGTAATTCCTGGATAGTTAGTATGAGAACTCAACTGCAGTATAAACTGTTGGGCTGGAAAAAAAGGAGCATATTGCATTTTTTGTTTGTAGTGCCACTGTTTAGCATACGATTTTCTGAAAACAAGATTTATAACGTTAATAATATATTTATAATATTTGGAAGATACATCTCAGTAAATCAACACTGTGTATTCTCATGGGGTGTGTGTCCACATACATAGATGATACTTGAATGTATAAAAGGCTCCTCTGCCTAAGGTAGGCATACTGACCCCCATGCCTTCCTCCCTAGCCTCACTCCACTACTAGAGGGAAAGATGTCTGTCAAGAAACAATTCCAAAATAAGCAAAAATAAATTTATCTTAGAGGTCTTGACTGGAAAGCTGGTATACTAGGTACTACCCAGATATTCTCTGATACAACTGCTTCCAAGCTGGAGAAGCCATAAAGAGACATGTTCAGCTCCCTTCAACCCACCCCTTCCCTTATTTTCCCTCAATTCTGTGGTATATACAATGAATTCTTGACTGTATTCTCCCTCACTTTCCCTCTTCATTCTTCTACCCCTCTCCCCTTTTCCCTCCTCCCACATTGCAAGGACCCATTTCCTGGTATTTATTTTGTTGGGCATTGACTTAGTCTTTCTAAAGAATTGTACTATTTGAGCTCTCCAGAGTCCATAGACTTCAGTTAATTCATTTGTAACCACTTATATAGCAACCAGGGTGTTCACTTACAGATTTATAGGTGCGTTCTAGCTACCACAAATGAAGGAAACCACATAGACCTCTGGTCTGGCTTACTTTGCTTAATATAATTTTTTCAAGTCTTTCTATTTCCATACAAATGGTATAATATTATTCTTTCCGATGGATAACCAGAATTCCATTGTGTGTGTGTGTGTGACATTTTCTTGATCTATGTTTTCACTGAGGGGCATCTGGACTAATGCTGTATCTTGGCTATGGTAAAGAGTAAAGCAGGCTGGGTACTGATGGCTCACGCCTGTAATCCTAGCTACCCAAGAGGCTGAGATCTGAGGATTGCAGTTCAAAGCCAGCCCAGGCTTTGAATATCTATGGTAGGAAGTGTGGAGAAAATAAAATAGTATAATTAGCAAAATAATGTCATCATCCATAACTCCATATTCTAGAATATTAATATTTTGGTGTATAATTTTCCATATTTTTAAAACAAAATGCCACTTTAAATATTTACAGGGGATAAAGCAAGAAAAAACCTTCCTTCTTCTTTCTTCCCTCCCTCCCTCCTTTCCTCTCTCTTTCCCTCCTCCCTCCCAATATCCCTCCCTCCCTCCCTCCCTCCCTCCCTCCCTTCCTTCCTTCCTTCCTTCCTTCCTTCCTTCCTTCCTTCCTTCCTTCCTTCCATCCTTTGCTTTCTTTGCTTGCTTGCCTGGTTCTCTACCACTTGAGCCACATCCTTAGCCCTGCTGTTTGCTGTTATTTTGGAAATAGAATCTAAAAGACTTTTCTGCTCAGACTGGCTTTGAATTGAGAGCCTCTGAGTAGGTATGACTACAGGTGTGAATCACCGGTGGCTGTCAAGAGCAGGTGAAATGTTGTTTTTGCTGTGACCTTCCCTCAATGGGCCCTACCCCACACAGCAAGTGCTGGCTTGTCTTGCCTCCATGTGGCTTTGTTGGTCTAGGAAAAGACTCATAGAATCCAAGAAATGAAACGCACAAGATGTAGTGTTTTAAAAAACATTTTTAATGAAGAAATAATTCCATTCCAAAATATAGACACACAATTAAATAGTTTAATCACTTCAAAATATAACATGTCCCCAGGAGGTTCCAACATACACACACACATACACACACACACACACAAACACACACACTCACACACACACAAAACAATACTCAACAACAATACAAAAAGTCCATACAATAGTTTTATTACAATACCAATGAATATTGTGAAATCTTTAGTGTTTCTGAATTGCTTGTTTCAAATGGTGTCAAATTACAGTAGTCATAATTACAAATGTCTGAAGTTAATTAGCCAACAAGATGTAATGCTTCTGATTTTTTCCCTCTGTTTTAGTTCCAATGTAAAAATGTCCTTTCTATTGAGGACGTAGTGGAATTTTTATTTATTGATTTTAATTTTTTTTGTGTGGCTCCTTGTGTGGAATTGAACCAGGTGAATGCAGCAGCCCAAGGCTGCTAGGTTTACAAGATCTATCTATAGTTAACAGCCAAGAACTAATAAGAGTGGATGAAGATGATCAAAATCAAAGCAGACATCAGTGCTAACTTATGTTGCAACACTTTGGCTCATGCATATAAGAAAATACATAGTATATCACGACAAAGGCCACACTCTTAATGCAATTCAGTTCACATTACTACTTACAAATGAACCTTCCCTGCCTTATAGTAGATCATACATCAATCCATTTACCTAATCTCCAGCAATCTCCCTCTAACCAACCAACTTACCCCAACTTCCGTCCTGACCAACCACAACTGATTCCTGAATCCTATACAGTAGATTCCACCCTCCTTCATGAATGTGGTGCTGTGGGGGAGGGATGGCTGTGTTAGACCAGTGCTCATTAATAGGCCATCAGCTCCGATGAAGACAGATATGCAGTTTATTGTGGAACAAGAAAAAAAAAAGTACCCCTGTAAGATAAAGTTGTATCTAATGGACAAGACAGATGAAACCTGCTGGGTTTGTATTTAGAACAATCCCCAAAAGTACATTTGGAGAGCCAATGAAAGGAAACCACCCACAACCACAAAAACCCAAAACGACACACGCCATTTTGTCTCGGTTACAGGGCAAGGGTGCTTGAGTCTGGTCTCTGTGCTGACGTGGAGCTAAGAGAAAGAAAAGGTGGCTGGTTAGTGAGAAACTGGTCATTGGTGACAGTTTCAGAGTCCTGGCAACCGTTTTGTACAATGGTACATACCAATGACCAAGTAGTGGAGTTGGCTGAATGAAAGCTATGGCTAGGGAGAGGGTTTTTCAGTAGATTGGTTCAAACCTTAGACTCACATCTAGATGTAGAAACACAAAGACACAACACAGGTCAGCTCAGTCCAGTCAGTGGCTGAGGGCCACTTACAGGGTCTCAGTTCTGAAATCAGGAATTCCCTGACTCTGATTTTGAGCTGACAACAATAAAGGTAGTCGGGATGTAGTGGTTTTTCAGTATTGAATGTGAGGCACCGATGGCCACCTGCTCCATCTACAGAGGTATGGGTTCACAGAGGATGGGCAGTGGAAGAGAGATGAATGTTAAGACATACCAAACAAAACCCGCAATAAAATCCACCTGTGCAAAGAAATCAGAGAACAGTGCAGTTGTGCCACTTTGGTGCTAGCCTGTGCTCAGGGACATTTGTTAGGTGGGTTCTCTGGAGGGGAGTATGATTAAGTAGATCCAGGGTTGGCATGGGGTCCTTCCTGATACCAATCAAGTACTTTGCTATCCCCATGTGATTTTGTTCCAAAGGCAAGCCCAGGAGATGGCTTGTAATCAGATGCAGAGGCATGAACATCTGATGGCCCCCTGAAGAGAGCGTTTGAAAACAAGAGATGCTCCCAGCTGCCACCCTTCCACTGTAGGCCAGGTGTCAGGGACAGGAGAAGGTTCATGACAGCCATGGAAGCAAAATTAAATGGCTAAAGCTCTAAGGTTGACGTAGATTCTCTCTTACTTATTCCAAATAAAGCCTTTTCAGAGACTTTATTGTACACCCTTATTGTAAAGCAGTCATTTTCACCTTTTAGCAAGGCTCAGAATCATTGGGAGGGCTGATTAGCACAAAACACAGATGGCTGGGCCCAAGTCCCAGAGTTTCTGATTCAGTAGGCCTGGGTTAATGGGTAAGAATCTGCATTTGTATGACATGCCCAGATGACGCTGATGCACAGGTGTGGGGACCATATCTGGAGAACCAGTGTTCTCCAGTGATGTTCATTCTTTTAAACGAACACCGGGAATTCCAGAGAAGCTGCTCATTTAACTATGATATATCCAATATGTCAGTATGTCGCAAGCTTTTCTTCCTTTTCATATCTTGAAACAAATGATTACATTTCCATTTTCCCCAGAATCCCTAAGAGTGGTTCTTTAGTGGTTCTGTCTAAAGGACCACCCAGAGTCTTTCATTCTCTTGTCCTTGACAGTAGTTTGTCATTGAGTGCAAGACTCCCAACTCAATGTAGAAGAGCCTGTCTCCTTTCATATGACCACACAAAGCTGCATGCAGAACACGAGGTGGCCAGCTAAGGCAATCCACATTCAGAAATAAAAGGAGAGAGAACGGTTTGCAAGCGCACTTTAAGCCTGTACATTTAAAGCTGAAGGCCTCCGAACAACCTGACGGGGTGGAGGGGGGAGGGGACTTGTGAATGAGCAGTGTGGTGAATGACATGCTTCCTAAAGCTAACACGAGAGGAACAAGACCATGGAAGAGCATCGATCACTTTAGTCCATTTGGGGATCTTATGGCACCTGTGGTTTATAAACAGCTTTAGTAACGAGTATTTCAAAACATAGTTCACAGTTTTAAGAAGATCTGTGCTGATTTTAAAAACTAGATTCTATATAATTTGAATGCTGTCTCTTTTTTGTTTTGAATATGATATCTATTTGGAAAAAATATTTACACTAAGTTCTATGGCTGACTTGTTAAGAGAATCTTGAAAGGAACCAACCCTACATTGGAAAGAGGCCCCAAGGAATGGGTTATTCCTGGTGGTTGGCTCAGGTCTCTGCTCACAGAGACTTGCAGTCAACTTCAGGCCAATGACCCCTCCCTCCCTGGCTTCTGGGCTCTGAGTCTGAACACTCAGGAACCAACTCTTTCAGGATGAGTGAATAATTGTTAATGGTTGTTCCCCTCCCCCACCCCCCATTGCTGTGGAAAAACCATTGTACAGAGTCTAGTAAATTGTTTTGCTACAGTTCTAAAGAATCCTGAAATCAAATGTTTAGCTATAAACAGTGTTAATATTGTCTTTGTAAACTGGACAGGTTCACGATCATGTACAAGATTGGAAATGCGTGTTAATACTGCCACCGTGTGTAACAGCAGCGTGGGTTTTCAGCCTGTGTTTGTTTTGAACCAGGAATGAGCCATGTTACAGAAGATGGAGCTGATACATTAGCTTGGAACAGAAGTCTTGTTCTCCCCTCCCCCACCCCCTTCTAAAACACACACTGAAGAACTACAAATCTGAGAACAAAAAGTTAGCTGCACTACAGGCATCAGAACACATCTTAAGGGATGGGGGTTTGCCAGGAGCTGCGGGGTGTGGTGGCTCCTCTTTCCGGCGAGGGTGAGGCTTTGCCAGGCTGGTCTCCTCCTCCTCTGTGTGGATACAGGGCTCTCCATCACCTCCAGCTTTCATGTTATGTCATCATCTGTCTGACTATAGCTTGCCTGGGAATAAGGAATGTGTAATTTTTTTTTAAAGATAGAAGCTGTTTCTAAATCAGGGTTATGAAGCTTAGGATACCCCCTCTTAGACGAATACGTACACCACACACACACACACACACACACACACACACACACTCGCCACACACACTGAACTTCCTTCCCATGAAAATTAGGGATGAATATTCTAAGACCTTGTGTGCTGCTGTTGCACCTGGTGGGAGAGAGGGCAGCAAGGCCTCCTGGTGAAGTTTCTTTCTCAAGGGGTACCTAGAGGTATCCTCAAGGGGTCTGGATGGTTAAAGCCATCACAGACAGAAATATTTGTGCTGCCTTTTGGAAAGGAGGTGAAGCCACTGATTCATTTTCAGAAGATCAAATTGATTAAAAAATATACTTTCCATGATCCAAATCCTTCCTTCCTTCCTTCCTTCCTCCTTCCCTCCGTCCTTCCCTTCCTTCCTTTATCTGGTAGTGTTGGGGATTGAATTTAGAAAAGAGCTCTACCAAAAAGAACCACAGTCTTAGCCATTTTTACTTTCATTATTTTCAGCCTGGATCAAGAACCTCATATTTATGCCTCCTCAGTAGCTGTGGTGATATCTGCACAACTCCACATCCAGCCTTTTTTTTTCTATTGAGATAGAGCCAGCCTTTTATCTTGGCCTGGTCTCCAACTACAATCTTTCCCATTTCCGCCTCTTGAGTAGCTGGGATTATAGGCGTGAGCTATCACACCTGCCCCCAACCTCTAAATTCTGAAGCTAGGGTGTAACTGGATAATGGAAGTATTTCATGGAGTAGAGGATGGGAAAAGGACAAATTCAAGATCTGAGCAGGTCAAAAATGATGTCCTGGAGGACACTAAGATGAACACTATCCATTTCATAGACTGTTTCTTCAACAGTGGTTAGTAGAAGAGCAACAGACCATTTATTCTGCTGCTGGTAAATGTGTATTTATTTCCAAATACATACAGAAGTCCTACTAGAGCAGAAACTGAATCTTTGGGTTTCTGGGGTCCCACTTTTGGTTTTATGTAGGGCTCTGGCTTAACAGGCTGATGTCAAGCCAGTGAGGTTGGTTAAGAGATATATAGAATTTATTATAATTTTTGGACTTAGAGTACAGTCAGGGGCCCAAACAACATTATTTGAATCATATAAACTTCTAAAAATTGAATCATATTTTTGGCTACATAAAGAAAAACTGCAGTAGGCTACAACTACCTACAAAGATGGAAAGCCACTAGTATTTGCAACGTTCCATCAGGTTTTAAATGGATTTTGCTTAAGCAGCTGAGTTAGCCACAGGCTGCTTCATGTTTAGAGAGCTGTCGAAGGAGAGAGAGACAGAGTACCCTCATGCGACAAATGAAGAGCTCACAGCTGTGTCATTTCTCACTGCCAAAAATTAAGTCTCTAAAGGTCAAAAAAGAAAAATAAAACTCACTGTCATTTTTTTTTTCTTAAAAATGTGAGTTTATATCAAGGCCATTTTTGAACAGAAATATTTTTCTAAGAGGTAGCTACCGATGCTTAAAATAATACACAGGCTAAGAGAAAGAGAACGTTATAAAAGGAGAGAGGCTGTTCCCTTGGGGCTAGGGTTTTTTCAGCAACGGGTCCTGGGAATGTTTCTCACTGGAGTCAAAGTGAATGGAGAGAGCTTGCAGTGTTGGTTTCACTCTCAAACCCAAATAAAGAACACACTGTGGTCAGTTAGAGCTTCCTGTCCATGTAGTCCATCAGCAAGTGTGTGTCATCACGGCAACGAGGGCCATCAGTTTAATTTGCATAAAATAGGATGCAGACCAGCAGTCTTGGAACTAGCATAGTATTTATTCATGAGATGTCACTTTAGAAATAGATTTCATTTTTTAAAACTGGCAGCCTGGGTTAATAGAGTTTACTATCAACTGCGCTATAGACTTGGGGATTCTAACCTTAGGAGGTTAGAAGGTCTATGTCACTAATGTGGACACAAATCCTTGGGCCAGAACCGTCAGGTTGAAGTGCGAGTGCATTCATTAGCTTTACCTTGTCATGAGGAACACTGACATGGCTATTAGCTGGTGCCAGCAAACCCATCTAGACTTCTGGAACAGTGTAGCCTCAAGCCATAGAACAGAGCTGAGTCTTGGCCATGTTCATAAAAGTATAGGGAACAAAGGGCTTCTGAGTCCTAGTGGGTCCTATACACTTACACAAATACTATAGCAGCTCTTAGGTGTTGAGCTGCTTGTGAAGTGTGGGACACAGTAAGAGGCAGGCATATTGGTGCATGGTCACAATTATTTATAGAGTGTGTCTGAAACTCTGTTGAGCTTTTTCAAGGCTATATTCTAGGGAGTACAACTTCTCCGTGAGGTAGATACTAGGACATATTGTGCAGAGGAAATTGAGATTCGAACATGTCAATAATTTGCCGAGATTTATGCTGGGGAAACCCACATCTGAAAATGGGTCAAACAGTGTCCAGAGCCTAAGTTTCAAACCACCAGACTCAAGCCAATGGAGTAATAGTCTTCGCTAGCTTTAAAATATATATATATATATATATATATAAAGTGCTACTTTTTTTCTATATTTGAAAATAAACTGGAAGGTTTTGCATGTATTTAGGTAGATTCCCCAGGGTGAAATCATCTAATTTAAAAATGCAATTCAAAATTAATCCATGTCTTGTTAATTCCACAATAAGTATGAATTAATTCTGTCAAAAATCTAATCTTGTGGAAGTTTTTAAATAATACTTGATTTAGCTGATACTTGTTAAGATACACACATTTGGTGGTTGGAGTCCTGAGTCTGGCATTGCTAATAAGCTGACCCATGTAGGGATGCTGAACTTACTGGGTTTTCCTTCCCAAGTGCTAGACAGGCAGCAACCCTGATGCCATTGCTGACATAACCAAAGAGGACTTGTGGGGCATCTCTGGTTTCCCTAACTACAAAAAGAACAAGTCAGTACCATGATGGTAGATCTTCACGAGATTATCATGAAATGCTCCATGGATGGGAGCTGATTTTTTGCAATCAGCAGAGAAAGAGGACTTTCTATCACATAAAACGAAACAGCTACGAGAGAGTGGCTGTGACTTGATGTTGCAAGTTATCAGGATTCAGTGGAGAGTGACCATGTTGCCGCCTAAACAAGAGGGTACTTACTTGAGAGGAGAGTGATAAAAGGGCATTGCATTCAACCTTGCAAGCTGACCTGTGGGTGACAAAGGACACAAACAAGAGAGGTGACATGTCAAGTCAGTGGTGCAGTCAAGCCGGTGAATTATTTGGCTGGAAGCCATGCACAAGGACAGAGAGCACCTGAGGGATGAAAGAAGCATTCCAGTCCAGCCAATCACCATCTGTTCCCACAGCATCGAAGGAAACCACTTCATCGTTCTCCAGCGTATGCAGTTTGAGTAAGGACAGTATATTCGCTCAGCCCCTTTCCTGCCTTTCCCTTCAAAGTCACCAGACATGAAAGGCCAAGGACAGAGAAAGGGAGCTAAAGACTTCTTACCAGAGATAGAAAAAAATCCAGTTGGATCTTAAGACATCAATAGAATCACCCTTTTTTAAAATTATAAGTTTTATTCCCATCCAAGTATTCTTAGGCTTTTTCTTCATAAACTGACCATCCAGACTTGTGGAATCAAAACTCTTTCCCAAGCTGTATAACTTTTTTTCTTAAAGGAGACAGAATATGCCAAATAACATGGTTTCATGATTCCTTTATCCCAGAATTTTAGAACCCAACAAGTTAGACCCATAGAACACAATAAAAAAAGAGTAGATCATTGTTCCCTCCTTTGCTGAATGGATGTTCTACTTTTTCTACAAAGAGTTTATTACTAAAAGATGGTTGAGTTTTACCTTCACAAGAAACCTTTCTATCAGTCTTATCCTTGGTTTAGAATAAAGAATCCCTAATACATATTGAGCTGTTTTCAGCTATCAAAAATTAATCTTGTTTTACTTTTGCATTAATATTTGCAAAAGACAAACCCCATTTTCAAAATTCTTTATACTTCCCATTATGATTTGGAGACAAGGGAGGGACTGGGGAAGAGAGATGGCTTGTTTTGTTATGAGGTAGAAAGTCTCCTTCCCTTTATTTTACTCATACAAGGCTAAATTCTCAATTCATTAAATCAGCAAAAGTCTAATATGTGTTGTGGAATAGTAAAAGGCTGCCTCCATTAAAAAAGCAACATCTGGAATTTTAGTACTGTTGTCACTAAGATCCAGAAATAGGTATGAATTCAAAGAGGGAGCTCTAATAGCCTCCTTTAAGAGGAGGAACCAGAATATTGGTTATTTAGTCACATCTCTCTCTATGTGCAGAACCACCTGAGCTGTGTGGAAGAAGGCCATCAGAGGTCCTGGAGACACCCTACCATATTCATTCTAGGAGACCTGCCTTTTGTGGACCAGCCACAGGAATTGCAAAGAAAGAGTACTTGTGATTTTGCAAACAGGTGACTTAAGTTTTTGGAGCATAGATAAGACGACTCAACACAGAATATTGTGTGTGTGTGTGTGTGTGTGTGTGATTAGAATGACATTTGGTTACTTCTGGAACATAGCTCTTAATCTGACACGGCCAATGGAACATTCTAGAGAAGCAACACTTTTGTTTTATATTATTGGGGTACTCTTGGATTTCAGTCCCTTGGATTTCCATCCTGCTACATTCTTCTTGGAAAATATTTTGAGGCTTAGTCTAAACATACGAGAAACAGTAGACAATTTACGCCCTCTGCTTCTCTGTCATCCAGACAGAGCAAGAGGGTGGCTGCTGATATAGAATGTGGAGGGAGCCTGTGTGGCCACTGGACAGAGAAGCTGATGGGAAAACAACAGGCCACCGGGGCTGGGAAGCAGTTAATTCCCACCAGATGGGAGCTCTCAGGCCCAACATACCTCCAGATTGTTATGCACTCATTAACTTGCTCATGTAACTGTAATCCCTCTGTACAGTATTTTTGTAATAAAAACCCTATTGAAAAGAAAAGAAAGGGCATACACAGAAAGGTAAACAGGGCAGTAGACTAAGCCCATAGGGGAAATGATTAGTGACATCATTCCCCAACTGTGCATGTTATGTTTTGTGAATTCTCAGGAGTTAATATCCTCCATCCTTCTCCACACTGGTGAAACCAGGACCTGCAGATAACCACTTCCCCTGCATTTCTCAATAATATTTGCCACCGACCTGTTTGATTATGTTAGATATCAGGTGAGCATGAGGAAGTCAATGAGAAGAATGAGGAATTCAGGGAGAAATAGTATCATATTAAATGAAGAATTTGGGAAAGTATATTCATATATAATACATGTTTTTGTATCCAATTATTATGACTTTATTTCACTTTTTTTGGCAGTCATGGGGCTTGAACTCTGGGCCTGGGCACTGTCCTTGAGCTCTTCAGCATAAGGCAAGTGCTCTACCATTTAAGCCACAGCACCACTTCCTGTTTTCTGGTGGTTAAATGGAGATAAGAGTCTCACGGACTTTCCTGCCTGGACTGGCTTTGAACCATGATCCTCAGATCTCAGCCTCCTGAATAGCTAGGATTATAGGCGTGAGCCACTGCCTCGCTTTATTCCATTTTTTAAACAGGTTTTACTTGTAGCCCAGGCTGACCTGGAGCACTTGATGCTAATCCTCTTACATCAGCCTCCTAAGTGTTGGGATTTACAGGAGTGTGCTACCATACTCAGCTCTTAATTTTTAATTTATGTATATTTTTAAAAAGGCATTTTTTTTCTGAATGATCCTAGAGGAGTTTAAACTGTTAGGCATCATGTTTCTATTTAGATCTCTTCAGTTTCTAGGCAGGAGTTTATAAGAATACACAGTGAATGGCACCTACAAGAAATACATTTTTACTGACTGGAATATATGGTTTATGATGTGCCATTGAGAGGAAGATTGAAAAGAAGGAGGAAACACCAACTTTGGAGTAATGAGAAAGACCCAGCTACCAAGGGCAGAGGAGAGTGCTGTGCACTATGGGTCCAGTCCTGTACCTGATAGGCCTCGTCCTGCAGCTTCTGTTTCAGGTACTCCTCCATCTTCAGCTCATTCTCCAGCTGCCGGACGGAATCATTCTCATAGTTCTCATCATCAGGCCTCACATAGGCATCTCCGTCTTCTGTAACTCTGGGAATAAACCACAGAAGGCATGTTGAAGTAAATCTTAGGTGGATGAGTGGAATCTGATGGATTAGCTGTGGGTTTGTTGGGCATACTGATTTCCCTTTAATCCTCCAGGTCACTTTTAAGTTTCATATCTTCTTTTACCTAAATGCAAACTTAAAAACAAACCACCAAAAACCATCCCCAAATCTAGAGGCTTCAAAAAATGTGCGATCAAGGCTCTTACCCTTTTTCTAGAGCTGTCTGGAAATAATCGACCATCTGTGCTCTTCTAGAATTTATAGAAACAGTTGGCTTTCGAAATGTTCTATAATCTTAAAAAAGGTAAGCTTGTGCTTTGAAGGACAATCTTTCTCAATACAGAGCTTTTTAAACAGAATCTGTAAGGAGAGTGAGCCCTCTAGTGAAATAATGCTTAAGAACGTATGTCTGTAGTTTAACCTTCTTTATGTTGTACTTTGTTGTTCTCACGCGCATGTGCACAAGCACACGGACCTGCACACACATTCAAGCTTTAGCTTTATAGTACAATTAAGTCTTATGACATCAGCAAATCAAGGTCCAGAGGGCACATCTCACTGTTACCTCTTGACCATAAACATTTATATTAGCTCTGAGTTGGAGCAATCAATTTACGGTGTCCGATTCCAGTATAAAACAAATAATAATGCTGTCACTCACAAATGTGGGGCTCTGTCTCCATCTGCTCATTCAGAATATACAATGTGCTTCATGGAGCTGAACTCAAATTCACTATCTAAATTATATGTAGCTAGCTATTCTTCAGGCAAAACAGTACATGTTCATACAGTATAGATGTTAAAATAACCTCTAAAATGAAAAGTGTGGTCCAGGAGAAGTTTCTGGGCTAAACATTAAATGTTCATGGTCATTTATGTCTCTAGGACATGTCCTTGTTATTTTTTTAAAAAAATTTTGCAGATTTGGGGCCAGCTTAATTGCATCTATTTAACTTCCAAATCTCTTGTTGTTAGCTTCTCCTGCTTTTCACACCACAGGTAGAACAGGTGGTGGTGATGGTGGTGGTTTCTTGAATTTTAGAATTGGAACAAAGAAATTTGATGTAAATTTACCATGTAAATTCTTAACAGTAAAAAGTCCAGTGGATATGTATTTACAAGGTAAGATATATATATCTACAAATGGTAATTCACCATTTTTAAAAATAACAAATCAGACAATGCTAAATTACAGAGGAAAGGACAGGCAAGCAAACTAAGATTAGAAGCACTGTCATCTGACACTTTTAAAATTATGCTGACTGTATTGTTGGGATCTTACAGGCCGTGGCTTCCCAACTGGCTTTTTAAACCAGATCGCTCTATAATTTCATAATTGTTGATCTTTTACTGACAACTTGGATTGAAAGCTAAAACTGTGGAAGGGGCTCTGGCTAGCTTCTGTTGTGGGTCTTTAAAACAGCCAGTTTGTTTTGGTAGATTAGTCTGAAACATCTGTCTTTCTGTCATCAGTTTTGTGATCCACTGGTTCCTCTGCCGGCCCTTGTGGGGGTTTCTCATAACTCTCCTAACACCTCCCTTTCTTCCCTATTTTCTCTTTCCCTTTTCCTTCCCAAGCTGGGCTCTGAAGTCCTAACTGTCCTGCTGTTGCACAGTATTGGTTCCTTCTGCTGACTCAGGATTCTGGGACCTGGCTGACCTAACTGGGTGATAAATGACATGCATCAGAGGGACCCGGCTCTCCTTACAGGTATCTAGCTAGGGACTAAGCATTGTAAAATAATTGGTAATAATGTTGACCTCCTAGATCTTTATTATTAGCACCTTTTAACCATTTTTTTCTTGTCCATATGCAAAACATTCTTGAGAATATGCAAAACAAGACACCCAATGGGGGGCTTTTTGGTGCCTTGAATGACACAGATGATAGACTATTCCTAAATACCTGCTGCTTTGAGTTGTCAGTCAACTAGCCTTCTCTTTGGTGACTGAGAACATTTTGTGTGTGTGTGTGTGTGTGTGTGTGTGTGTGTGTGTCTTACTGGTGACTGAATCCAGGAGGGCCTTGAGCATACCAGTGCCAGACAAGTACTCCACTACTTGTTTGTGCTTTTTTTTTTTGAGACAGTTGAGTTCATATTTGTATTAGCTGGCTTTGAAGTCTGCCTCTGCAGACTTCACACACAGGTGTGTGTCACCAGGCCTAGTCTTTAGATTGTTTTGAACACTCTACCCTCTGAGGAAGCTCTATACCAGCTAGAAAAATCATTGCAACTACAGTTACTGTGGAAGCTACAAATTTGCTTCAGTCAAGACCGCTCTGGGTGGCTACTGTACTGACTTTGGAAGTAATCTGCTTTGAACAAGGTAAGCCTCACTCCAGGTGACCCTGCTCATCCTGAAGCTATGTTCACTCAGGACAGGAAGGAGCACACCTCCTCAGTGAGTCAACTAAGAGCCTGTGATGGGTGCAATGCAAAACTTGTGATTGGCTCAGAAGGAAGGCTTGTGATTGGTGCACATGTAAGATGGGCCAGTGGTGAAACTGTCACCCAGGCACATGCCAAGGCCGTTTCTGGTGGCACTATCACCCAAGTGCAAGTCGACTTTACTCTCTCTGTGTCTGTGTACTCTCTCCTGTACATGGATCCCATGGAGTTGCCCTATTTAGCCTTAGTCGTGGCTGCTCTTGAATGACCTTTTGCCTACTATGGTCTTTATCATGGGCAGAACAGGCTGAACTGGCTGCACAAAGATTAAAAAACAAAAAACAGGATTCTAGCCCCCACAGGGGCAACAAGGAGATGGCTGGAGCTCTTGATGATGCCTAAAGCTCAGTTGTAGCACCAAGAGCAAGCTAAGGCTATCTCTATCTGAAGCTCTGAGCTGTTAACAACCAGACAGCTAAAGAGTCCCAGAGAGCTGCCAAGATGGGATCGGCAGGAAGCAAAAGTATTTAAAGACTTGGTAGAGAAACTGGGACAAGGGAGTAAGAAGCTCTGAAGAGATGAAAGGTGAGACTAACAGGGTGAAAAGCAGAGAGTCTCAATGGCCAGAGTTCAGGGGCTATAAATGTAGCTACTGGGTATTAGTATTCTAAGCCTAGAGAAGTAAATCTTTGTGTTGAGCATCTAGCACCATAGGCTTCCAGCTTTGAAAGCTTAGATCCATAGGCCTCTGTTTCTTGAAGCTTAAAGCTAGAGCTTTATGCAAAGCAAGTGTTTATTTATTTATTTTTAAACTAATTTGACTTATTTACTAATTTTAATCCAAATACTTATATGTTGTTATCTTTGCTCATTGTGAAAAAGGGTCTTTCCAGTGTCATGGAGGCCTGTTAAGTGCAAATGTGGCAAATTCAGAAGACAGGATGACTTCTCCTCTGAAACTAGGAAAGAGAACTTTAAAAAAATACATTTTTTATTGTAAAAATACTGTACAGAGGGGTTATAGTTAGATGAGCAAGGTAATGAGTACATTTCCTATCAAGCATTTTTGCCTTCTCCTTTGTTTTTCCCCTACCATCCCTTCCCTCCCACCTCCAGAGAAACAGAGCTTTTTTTTTTTTTTTTTTAAAAAAGAAAACTAATTTATATTTCACATGATTTTTAACTTACATGTGTTTGGTTTGTAACTTTGGTATGAAAGTTATGCCCTGTGATGGACTGTTTTGCTAAGCTAAGATGTTCTTCTTCTTTTTCTTTTTTGTCAGTAGTGGAGCTTGAACTCAGGGCCTGGGCCTTGTCTCTAAGCTTTTTTTGCTCAGGGCTAGCACTCTACCAGTTTCAGCCATAGCTCCATTTTGGGTTTTGGGTAGAGTCTCAGGGACTTCCTGCCCAGGCTGGCTTTGAACACTCAGATCTCATCCTCCTGAGTATAGGTATGAGCCACCAGCACCCAGGTTAAGCTAGTTGGTTTATTGATTAGTTAGACTAAATGTATTTTCAATTCATGACATTTAAACCTTAGATGGCACTTACTGGGAATCTAACTTAATTTTAGACTAAAGACAGAACACTGTGCTCAGTGCTTTGGCTAAACCAGGTTCTCAGCAAGCATTATTGGGCTTAGATTCTGCTACTCGCCAGAAACCGTACAGGAGGGACAGTCTCAATACCAAATTTAAACACTGTGCCCTTCTGCCTTGCCTAAGAAGAAAGGAAATTGCACCACTCTTCCAAAGTAAAGAACTAAACAACCATGTTTCTATTTCCATATAGCCCCCTACAGATTGTTTTCTTTTTGAGCATGAGGTACTTACATGTCACTGCGCATGGTGCTTGTGGTAGCTCCACCATGAATATACCCGGGTTTTCGGGCATGGATTTGGGCTAGAAAAGCCTTTTCAGAGGTTGGTGATGGAACCAGATCTTCAAATTGTGTCCGTGCAAACTCAGAATCCACATTACTCTCTGTTTCACTCCCCACCTCTAGTGGATAAGATTCAATTGAAAAAAGAAACAATGGCTTATTAAGTAGTTCATGACCAACAAAATAAGGGATACGCTTAATAGAATCAACCTGTGTTGTACTAACTTTAGTCAGTTGCTGTACAATAGTCAACTTGGTATTGATGAATTGTTATAAAAAATTTAATGTACAGCATTTTTCTTTTTCCCCTGAGAATTATAATAAGGAATTTTTGTTTTACTAACTTAACTCCTTACAACTTCCACTTTTTAGGGAACACATAAAAGTGTTCCCTAAAATTACTTACTATTACTCTAATGTTTTTATATTTTTGTTGGTCATAGGGATTGAAGGGTCTGGGCACTGTCTCAGCATTTCTGTTCAAGGCTAATGATCTACCACTTTCAGCTAGAGTTTCATTTCCAGTTTTCTGTTGGTTAATTAGAATTAATTAGAGTCTCTTGGACTTACCTGCCTGGGCTGGCTTTGAACTGTGATCCTAAGATTTTAGCCTCCAGAGTAGCTAGGATTTCAGGGGTGAGCTACCAATGCCTGGCTCAGATTATTTTTTAAATATTTAAGTTTTAATTCTTTTTTTTTTCTTGCCAGTCCTGGGGCTTGAACTCAGGGTTTGAGAACTGTCCCTGAGCTTCTTTTTCTCAAGGCTAGTGCTCTGCCACTTGAGCCACAGTGCCAACTTCTGCCTTTTTCTGTTGATGTGGTACTGAGGAATTGAACCTGGGGCTTCACACTCCCTAGGCAAGCATTCCACCACTAAGCCACATTCCCAGGCCCAGAAGTTTTAAATCTTACAGTTTCTATAATCTTCAACTACTTGACAAATATCTTGCCAGACAAATACCTTGCGAGGTCAGACTGAAAGAATAGATGGAGATGTGTTTGTAACTGATATTTACCTCATATTTATCCTGCTAAAGTTTTAAAGTAATAGAAGAAAAAGTCTCTCAGAATTTTATCCTATTCAGTTTCTGGGCAGAATTTAAAATTCATTTTAGCTTCATTCAAATGATCATGAATTTCCAACTCAAGAGAGTCAAAACAGACAAAAAAGTTGACTCTGAGCAGAAAAGGTCAGATAAGGTGATGTTAGGGAAATGAACCCTAAGATATGTATTCAAATTTTTTTTCTTTCATGCGATTGTTTCTAACACATTTATAAGATTATTTCTTTGTTGCTTTGTATGTCACTCCCCCACAATATAACCCCTGCTTTTACTGTAAAAAAAAAAAAAGTTGACTCTGTAAAGTAACTTCAGTAATACCCATGGCTCACCAGAGTTGTTAACAGTAGAGTCTATAATTACAGGTCAGTTATAGTGTTTCAGTTCTTTTTCTGCATTTTTCAAAGTTTCTGTATTGGACATTAATAGTCTTCTAATAAGCAAAACATGAATGTTGCCAAAAATCTAAATATACTGGCAAAATATCGCATAGCCCTTTAAAGTATCCTTTTGACTTTGACAGTGAGTAAGCCCCCAAGGGACCCTCTTTACGCCCAGGGATCCTAGTGTGGCAAAGTAGTGAGGCCAGCAGGGACTCACCTGAGTTCAGCTCTTTCACCAGAGAGGACATGGTGTTAGTGATGGAATCCGCGGCCACTAGCAAATCGTTCCTTAAATTCCTTCTTGAGCCTTTAGAGAAGAAGAAGTGATCATTAAAAAAATCAAAGCCTCTCCTTTAATAAAAGTATTATGCATTTTATTATTTCTAGTGATCACCTATAAGAAAGCTTCCAAAGCCTCTCCTTTTCAGAAACATTTCCGTTCCTTAAAAACCAACCAACCAACTCGGTACTCAGGGTAATAGCAGCTCCTGGTAGATGAACATGTGACTAAAGATGGAGGTTCATGCAATTTGTGCTCAAATTGGGTAATTTTAAACGTGAAAGGGGATGGTTGTCATAGCACATAGCCTCCTGGGATGGTTCCAAACCAGGTGTGAGAGGTTTAGTTTCCTTCGGTGTGCTTGTGCTTCCTAAGAGTAATCCACACAGGTGGAAAGTGTAGTTTGCTAGGAATGTTGCTTCTTCCCAGCTGTTGACAATACACAGCCATTACTTTGTGACCGAGCGCCCTGGATTCTGGTCTTTTAGCACAGGCTGTCTCCTCTCAGGACTTGAGTTACTGGGACAGGTATCTCTTGTGGATGGGAAGCCTACATGACATGCTTCCACAGTGTAAGAAAGGGGTAAGGATTCTTGTTGCTGCTAAGAGATGACTAGATACATGTCTAGTAGCTTGAATTGGATTTTCAAACCACGTTAGAATGTAGCCTGTGGCAGAGAGAGGTTACTCTTACATTTTAAACATACAATAGGTTAATTGAATATTTGTGGACAAGGTGGGGAAGGATCCATAGTATCTTGGAGAAAAAAAAGACGTGCAAGGTTCTCAATACCTGATTTACAAATGAACTTATGTAACATGAGTATTTTATGAGCTAAGGACTGGCTATCTTTAGGCTATATTTCATGGTCATTTCTCAGAAGGTAATCATAAGTAAGTAAAATAGTATATTTAAGTTAGAAAATCAAAATAACTGGGCAATGCATTGATTAAAATAGAAAGCAAGATTTGATTTAAAATATTATAGATTTCTTTCAACTATAATTTAGAGAGAACATTTTTCTTTCTAAAAATTCAAAAAATTACATGCATTAACTTGATTTATATTCAGTTGAATTATATTCAGTGCTTTGAAACAAAGATCCAATATGGCTTCTTTTTCTCTGTCATAAAAGATAATCGATCATTCTCTTTCATTAAAATACGTTGACATCTTGCCCCTTATATGATAGATCAGAACAGCTGTTTTATTACATTCTTGCTATGCCCAGTATTAGAGGTGTTGAAAATTTAAAAAAAAATCACCAAAGCTGATAATTATTAAAACTTGCCTTTTTATAATTTGTGAGGTTAAAGTTTTCATATCTTTAAGAATGATTTATATTTCTTCTGATATATGATTATATCTTTCACTTATTTTTAATTTGGAGATGTCTAATTTTTACTGATTTCTACATGCTTTTTGGTAGCTAAAATGATAAAACCTAGCTTCCATGTATTTTGAGCTTTGTTTCTTTAAGTCTTTGAGGAAATGAATCTTTTTGTCTTTAACTTTGTACTTCTCTTTGCCTTAAAATTTATTATCAAATATATCTGTCTTACCCTTAGACCTTTATGTGAGGATCTCAAAGGATGTCTGTGATGTATTCTTAATTTCAAGAAAATGTAAATTACAGACTAAAATGCAATGCATAATCTGATTTGTGAAAAAATAAGAGTATGTGTCTATAAACACACACCAACATATCTACACTTAAGCAAAAAGTTGAGAAGGACATCAATAGTGGAAGTGAGCTTGGCCTGACTGAGAAGGGTTTGTGGGAGGAATGCTCTTCGTACTGTTTGCAAATATGAAAAGTGATGGTAAGAAAACGTTTTAAGTTACTTGTCTTGGGGTACCCCTCCTTAAATAGGGAACACAGTTTTCCACATTTCTCTCCTGTTAGCACTCTGTTAACCATGAAGGCCTAACCTTTTGGCTCCATTTTACAGAGAGGCAAGGATGCCACTCTGAAGGGCATCTCTATGGAGAAGTCATAATACAACTGTCTATCCTTTTCCATTACCCAGAGTCAAAGGAATGGGGTTATTTAATCTTAACTTTGACTTTGGTTTAGAGGGCATAAGGATTGTGTTTATAACGTTTCCAAGGAAAGAATCTGAAAGGCATTCCGGAGAATTAAGGAGCAAAGATTTACTAGAAACTAGGGCAGGGCAGTAGAAGCTAAGGGAAGGTAGAATGGAGCAGTGGGGAACCGAGGTGTAGAGGGTTTCTAATGCACTCAGTTCAGGCTCTAACACAAGCCTATGGTGTCCACATGGGAGCTCTAGACCATTCAATAGACTTTAGTGATTTAATTGGCCACTAAAATCAGGCAACTGTAAGAACAAAAACCACTTACTTTGTGCAAACGCCTCTTGCACATCTCCCCCTACCCCAGTGAGAGAGTCTTGAGGAGTGTGCGTAGGAGTGGAGCAGGCTGACGCTGAGCGGATGGGCATGGGGATTGGTCTGCTGATGGTGTGGCTGGGGGAGGAGCGAGGAGAGCCTGCCCCCTGGGTCTGGAGAGACAAGGCAAGCCATTAATGTGTTTTCCCAAGCAAATGTCATGAGCCAAACCCCAAACCTCCTTCCAATGTTAAAAACAATGACAATGAGATTCCAAACCAAGAGGAAATCTTAGGAAGTTGAGGTGGTAACTGGGAACCTCAGTTATGGGTGTACATAATTCAAGACATACCATTTGAAGTTTGAGTTAAATATTGAAAGCTAAAAACATTAGTACAGCGTTGCTCTACCAGAAATATCTGCCTACAGAATGAAACTATGGTTCAATAATGATAATCAAAAGGTGTGTTTATTGTCTCCTTGTGCCTACACAGAAAGCAGTAGAACTAAGAGGTGTTTGGCATGGATACAAATTGCTTCCTCTATTTTCAACCTGTCTCTCCTGGCATCACCTGTGGAGGATGATTCATTGTTTCTATCATTATATATTCATTGTTTATATTCATTGTTTATATCTTCCAATGATATGCCTATGAAGGATTAACGGATGTGGATGTTGCTTAATCCTTATTTGATAGTAAAATCTGGCTTTGCGAAATTACACCGAGACTCAGCGATTCAAATGATTTATTTGGTGATTTGATTTATTCAAAAATAAATCTTGGTGTTTCTTTTTTCTTTTTCATCAAACATTTAAATTGGTACATAAAAATGCAACATACTGATGGGCTATCATGGGTGTTTCAGTGCATTATGTTGTATTTCAATCAGGTTAAACATTTCTGTCTTCACAAATATGGATCCTTTCTTTATGGTAAAACATTAAAAATTCTTTCTTTGAGCTTTTTTGAAATGTACAGTTACTGTTGTCTATACTGTGCAAGAACATACCAGAACTTCTTATTCCTATTGAACCATGGCTTAGATGCAATTGATCAAAAATTTCCTATCCTCTCCTCTCCCTCAGGTAACTACCATTTCAGTCTCTACTTCTTTGAGATCACTGTTTTTGTATGTAATTTCACATATGTGATATCATGTGTTGCATATCTTTGGGGTCTTGGTTTATTTTATTTAACATAATGATCTCCAGTTCCATTCATGTAATTGCAAATGAGAGGATCTCATTTTTTTCCATAGCTGTATAAGTATATTCATTCCATTGTGTATATGTGCCACATTTTACTTATCCATTCACCAGCTGACATACACCTTCCATCTCTTGGCTACTATGAATAGAATGCAATAAACATGGAGTGCAGATATCTCTTTGACATCCTGATTTCATTTCTTATAGGTAAATGATGCAGTAGTGACACTGTGGGATTGTTTAGTAGTTCCATCTTTAATTTTTAGAGGAACTTCCATACTATTTCCTACAATGACTGTCCTAATTCACATTCCCACCAGTACTGTGCAAGTGCTCTCTTTTCTCCACATCTTTGCCATACTTGTTATCAATTTGTCTTTTTGATAATAGCTACCCTTACTGGAATGAGGTGATATCTTACTGGGATTTTGATTAGTAAAAATCTTGATTTCTAATTTTTGGCTACTACTTTCTATAGGAAACACCCTTCTCTTTGCCCTTGAGAATGTCCTAGCAGAGAGTAAGAATAGGAAGACTTTTAAAAGGAGTAAAGAAAAAGGTAGAAAACAATCATAAGTTATTTATTTATTCATTACAGTCTTTGGCATAAAACCTTTCTGAGACTGTCACACATTGAATTTTAAGGTTTTCTCTTTGCAGTGAGGTCCTTTGGAAGCAGTCTTCCAGTTTTAATTATTAGTAATCAAACACACATGTAAGGACATGCAAAAAGGTCCTTGAGTACACACACCACATATTGGGAATTCCATGTAGCCCCGTGTGTCAGAGATGGCTGGCCATCGAGAAAACTCTCCCACAGCAAGACAACATTCATCATCTAAACTCTTGAACTTGCACGACAAAAGCACCATTCCAGACATTCTACTGAGACCTCTGCTTTGGGTTTGGCTGCTTGCAGTTAAACATTCACAAAATCAGTCCTGTAAAATGCCATGCTGTTAGTTCTCCAGGGCTCAGCCTTACCTATACCAAGTGAGGAAAATACAGAACTTAAAGCCAAACAAGTCAGAAACAGACTCATGTAGTGCCCAGTGGGCTGGGGATTCCATTCTTTCATTCTCAACAGTACCTTGTAATGGTTTGTCCAGGCCCAAGGAAGAGAACTTTGCCAGGTGGTGATGCTTTGTAGCCTGTTTTCCTCAGCCTGTTCAAGGAGGGGGTCTGTTTTTCCAAGCAAATGGCAGCTCAGCCTATTACCTTGAAACTGTCTGCTTCTTAGCTACGACTAATATCCCAGCTTCCCATACCTATAATAAATAGTTTCACCCTTGCTTTGTGCTTTACGATGTTTGAAAGGTTCTAGGTATGTTCTTTTTGATTTCTCTTCACCAGCCTATAAAAAAAACATCCTCACTCAGTGATGGCTCCTAATGCTCAGGGAATGAAAAGTATTACCCTCAAGAGGGAGAGCGAGAGTGACAGTGCTAGTGGCTGAGTCCAGGTCCTCTGAGTGCTGGGCTGAGGGACTCTTGGTAGACTATAGCTGGTGGAGTATCCTTCAAATAAAAATATGTTGATCAAGTGTCCCAAGGGTTGCATAGGTCCCTGGCTACCCATTCTGAGTATCTTTTTCAAGGCAAGGTCCTCAGTAGAGCGCCTGAGGCATTCTTACTGTTCTGTCTAGCAAGGGACTAGTCATTAGTGAGGGCTGGGGATGGGCAGTGGGATGGAGTGGCTGTAGAATAGGCTTTTCTTGAATACAGACTGAGTTACTCTCTCAAGGTTGGGAAGACAGATCTTCTGTGATAGGAAGTTCATAGTAATATAATGACTCTGCTTTTGCATGTAATTTATAGTGAACTTGGCACTTTAACCCACATTGTCTTGTTTTGTTATCCCAGTATGGTAGTAGAAATGATAATAGCTTATATTAAAGTAGCAATGTGCAGTCTATAAAGCACTTTAATTCCATATACTTTGCTTAATCCTCCTAACCACCACATGAGGTATTATTTCCACTTTGTAATTGAACAGAGGCTCAGGGGGATAACTGAGCTTATCATGGTCTGAGCTAGTGAGTGCAAGCCTAAGACTACACTACAAGCCTAAGACTCTGTCCCACATCCTAGGGAGTCTGGCATGGTAACCGGCCTTTGCATGCTCCCATTTGTCCTTTGCTAAGCCAAGAAATGTTTAGTAACCTGAACGCAGTAAGACTCAGCGCACAGCCCTTCTATGGCGTGCTGGCAGAGTAGGGTCCTAGTACTCTCAGCTCAGCTGAGGCCAGAAAAATCTTTCAGTTCCTGGGCTATGGAAAGGTGCAGTTGCCCCGGGTGGGTGGAGTCTTAGCTGTCCATCAATCAATAGAGAAGTGCAGGATCATGATTTTTTTTCCTCTGTGACTTTGAGATCCTAAGTAAAACCCTGCATACCACACGTCTTTGCATAATGAAGTTAGCTCTAGTTAAATGTAAGAGCATTGCTATATCTGTGTCATACTACTTTTCAAAAAAAACCCCATAAAATCCTGAGTTCTGGAACATATCTGAACCTAATCATTTCAGCTATAGAACTATGCTTCAGCACCTAACTGGTATATTAGGGCTACACCAGCACCATCCTATATAGATCTGTTGTGCTAGGTTCTCCAACACAGTGAGCTTGCAATGGTCTTCTCTTCAGTAATATTTGGGAAATTTGGTCCCTCTGTCTTCTTTCCTGCCTCTCTCCCTTGCTCCTAGTGCATTTTTCCCATTGGGCAGTGATTTTCACTTCCTATCTTTCCCTGCTTCATCAGAGCTGGTCAAAAGCAACTCTTCCTACTCCCCTTTTCCTGATTCCAACTCTACCATTAGTAGTTCTGTGTTAAGAGAAAAAAATTGGTATTTTGTGTTAGGGGAACACATTTGAGTGAATCTAAAGTAAATCAATGTGTGAACGAATAATCGTCACCATCTCCCAAATGGATCTCTAATTGTTGTGCAATTTAAACAGTTTGATTATGTGAAGAATTTTCAGAAGAGTCTGTGGTTAAAGAAAAGATTCAGCTAGGCAGAGGCAGCCACTTGGGAGGTAGAGATAGGAGGATCAAGGTTTGAAGCCAACCTGAGCAAAAAAAAATTAGCCAGGCTCTCCCTCAAAGAATAATTCTAGCTATGCAAATGTGTAGGTAGGGGGATCATGTTCCAAGGTCAGCCTAGGCAAAGACTGCAAGACTCTATCTGAAAATCAAGGCAAAAAGAGCTAGAGGTATAGCTTAAGTGGTAGAGTCTTGAGTCCTGAGTTCAAATTCCAGAGAGAATGAGAAAGAGAGAAAGAAGTTTCTTTTCTGAAACCTGATACTCCCATCATGTCCAGTGTAGGATACTGGCTGCTTGAGCATTTTTTGGCCCCATTTCTTAGTCAGGACACTGTCCAGTTTGATCTATAGCACCTTCCTTGCCTGGCTATGGGAAATGGCTTCTCTGGTCTTTCTGTCCTATCTTTGTAGGGGCAATAGAAAAGGCAGTTTCTCTTGGCCCTGGGGCAAATCACTGTTTTTCATTCTCACAGCTGGTGACCCTGGTAGAATAGAGGACTCATGGCTGGTCATCAAATATGGTGAGGATTATTCTCTATGAGCATCCTTCCCTGGAAATTACTCAGTGATTAATGGAGCAAAGACTTAAGGGATAACAGTCCATGCAGATCAATATATAGATCTGAAATTCCCAAGGAGAGAGTTGATTTATGGAAGAAGGAAAACATAAATCACACCTGGCAAATTTAAAATAGCTCTCTTCCTAGAGAATAAATGAAAAATTAATTTCTACACATTCTCCGTTGAGTCCACTCAACCTCCTATTGCATCAATTTTTAACAAGTCTGACAAGATCCATAAATTTTCTGATTTTTTTTCCCCAGGAAGTATCTGGGTTTCTACCCAGCTCTAGAAATGAGGGATGTCTTAAGGAAAGAATAAATGTCTAACCACTGAACCACCTTGGTAAAACACACACTATT